GGGGGGGGGGGGGGGGGGGGGGGGGGGGGGGGGGAGTTGGAACAAACATTCAATTTTTTAAAAGACATTTACCTTGCTTAGTAACTGAAATAGAAAAGCAGACCTCACAGAATCAGTAAGAGTTTCTTGAGAGCAGAACCAGTGTAGCAAGTAGCAACGGATCAAAGAACCTTCTCAATAACAAGCTTACAGTCTGTATAACGGAGTGAAAACAGCTTTATTTAGTGCGTTTTGCGCACAGCTATGTCATGTACTCCAAGTGCAAGTTATACTAGCTGGGTGACTAATTGCATCTGAATGAATCTGATCTGATCAGCTGTGGTTTAGGCGATGATACATTTGACGCCTATGCAAAATACATCGAAAAGAAGTTTTTCATGGTAAACGAGGTACCGAACAAAGCTATCTATTGCCATTTGACGTGCGCAACGGATACGCAGCAAGTGCAATTTGTCCTAGACAGTGTTTTGGATACCATTCTTTCCAGCAAACTAAAAGGATGCGGTTTATATTGATAACATCTGCTGTAAACCTTATTTGTATATAGAATGTGCCGGTTAAATAAAATTTACGAACTGAAGGGGTGAGCAAAGTGTTAAATATGCTAAACATACATTGACAGGGCTGCTGTAGTTGATCCGACAAGTGATTTTAATAGTGTATTGGCACTAACATGAAATTTCATTGCTCAAATTTCTCTGGATTCGTTAAAAGCCGGGGCCAACCATTACGCATCTCGACAGATAATCGCTCAGCACAGTTTGTTTCATTTTGCATATGTTATAAATTTTATCTGCGAATTCCACTTGCTTATCAACTGAGAGCAATTCATGTCAGTAACTGATACGCATAAGAAGAGCGGTACTTAACGGGTATAAAAAAATGCTCCGCATGCTTATCTGAAACAGGAGCTCGTGTCACGCCGGAGTGAATGGATTAGAAGCATGGAAGAGCGTGCCGCCATAATTACATTTGCCACTTATATTACCGGCTCTCCTTTTGCTTTTTTTTCCATGAAATTACCAGTGATAATAACCAGCTCATTTCAAGGCCCAATTCGCAATCCAGCAGGCACAGTGAAAGAACGGGATGTCGCAATTGTGTGTAGGACTGGGTTAAATGTATGCAAAACAACACAACTGAGAGTTGGCTTTGATCAGTAGTTGACCATTTTTAATGTGCGGTAAATTTTCGTAAACGCCGGGCACAGACACTAACTCGTTTATGGTCAATTTTTTCGATATCACAAATTCCTCGTCCTTCTGAACCCAGTGCCCTCTCCCCTCGCCCCGACTCTCCTTTTCTTTTCTCTCACAAGCTACGGGCATCACGGTCTGTGACCTTCAACGCTGTGTGCATGTTTGGTATGCGCGAGCTTCGGTACGTTTCGCTAATTTTATTTTTTTTTTTTTGTCTCGCTCACTCAGAATGTTACGTTTTAACTGTTTTTTGAGAAAGCACCGCTGTTGCTGCAGAGCGTAATGATTTCTGAGATTGATACTTACTGTTATTCGTTATCAATCCTGAAATGAGTTCATTTTTCTAATTCACTGTTCCTTTTCGCCTACATCATTTGCTTCATTACCATCTTAAACTTCGTTTCAGGACTGTCATAGCCGAATTTCTTTTTTGTGCGTTTTTTGCAGCTATGCAGTGCAAAAGCGCATATTGTTCTCTTTTGTAAAGCAGAGACGTGCAGTCACATTCCTTCATCCTCCTTACGTAACACTCGTTCTGCACTCGAGCGCTTTAAAACGTGTCAGTTAAACAATGGGACAAATTTCAGAGATCATGATTTAACTTCGGAACTACTTTTGTATAAGCATCGTTAATATTTTTTTTGACAAAAAGTACTGGCAACTTTGAAGTATCACCTGATATATATTGGAGTGTTTTCAGCTTTTACAGAAAATAAAATATGGGAGAAAGTGAAGGAGGAGGTGTAGGGGGGGGGGCGGTGGAGTGGAGGGGGAGAAGAGGCAGAGGAGTGTTCGGCTTCTTAACTCGTGTATAAAAGAGCACTGTATACTGAAGGGAAAATAAGGCTGCTTTTCGAAATGAATGCAAGCATTTCCCGCCTATTTTTTTCACCGTAATAAATCCCGAATAATTTTTAGAAGAAATGCAACACTGGACGACTGTACATGCTTAAGTGTGAAATCGCGGTGAAGCAAGAGCAAAAGAAAATTCTTGGATAGTGGAACAACTTCTTCCTCAGCCTGACAAACTGAGGCATCAGCGTGAGTTCCAAATATCGCCAAATATAGCAGATAAATGTCAGACTGATTTTGATTTACAATTTGTTGGAGAGCAACAATTGGACAATACTGAACGAAGTCGATGAGTCCAAGTAAGCGTAGATGATATGTATGGGTCTGTGGGCTGCGCCAATCAGTTCAGTTCATGATTGTGTTTATTAATTAACAGTCCATGATTGTGTTTATTAATCACTTTGATAAATCACAGAGAACACACAGTCTTGGACGTCTTCCGTCCCCATTTCATTTATTGCAGGAAAAGGATGGGAGAGGGTGAATGAACAAGGGGAAGAAACTTACGAAAGAATACTCACAGCGAAAGCAGCATTTGCCAAGATATATGAAACTATTAAAACTGGATTAGGCTCGATAGGGTTAGGAGCTACTCGCGATAACTGGAGGTGGTGACAGAGGGGCTGGAATGGGGAGGAGGAAGGAAGGGATGGAAGCCGGTTGGTAGTTTAAGCCTCGGGGGATCGTGACCTCCTCCTCCCCCAAGACCTAAATCACCACCCGGCCTCCATCCCCTTCCCATTGACCAGAAAGGCCTTAGTTGAAGTAGGAATTGGAAACGTGCGAGGGGAGGGAGGTGGGGTGGAAATGTCCCTATGGGCTTTTTTACGCCTAGCATGAAATTTAATGCTGACGAAATGTCAGCAGCTCAATATGCATTCACTTAAGGGTTCGAGTAACGAAAACCGTAGTGCTTAGCTTTATGCATTCTGTGCTTTGTAAAAGGGTAGTTACTAAAAGTGGCTCGGTTGGGTCCATATGCGATCTACAGCCGATTTTTTCGGGTGTCTTTATTCAAACGCTCGACGCCGCAGATGGGGGTGGTGGAGGGAAGAGGGGGAGGGGGAGGCTTTTTGTGCGGGCTCTGG